TGGTTCAACCAGGGCAAGCTTTCAGTGAAAATAACCCAACTCCTCTTTGCCAAGCTCTTTCAGTGAGCAGACACCCAGTGAAGTCCTTTCCTCCTTGCCCACATGGCTTCAAGCAATTGCTTTTTTGCTCACCTCTCACTGACGCAGGGAACTGGGCCTGTAGGACAGATATCTCCCATTTCCAGCAGTCCAACTCTCCAACATCTCCAACTCCACAGGGAAAAGTTTAACTGTTGTGTTTTTTTGCCCTATGAACTGTCACACAGCACAAGTCCAAGCCTAGAGCCTGACCCTGCTGGACCTTCCCTTCAGCCTATCTCCTGCTATCCAGGACTCAATGAGGCAAAGATTTTCTGAGACAAACATTTCTATTATCACAGAATCACAGAACGGCCTGGGTTGAAAAGGACCACAATGCTCATCCAGTTCCAACCCCCTGCTGTGTGCAGGTCGCCAACCAGCAGCCCAGGCTGCCCAGAGCCACATCCAGCCTGGCCTTGAATGCCTGCAGGGATGGGGCATCCACAGCCTCCTTGGGCAGGAGAAGTTGAAAGGTTGAATGCTCCCTTTCTAACTCGCCCCAGCTAAGGAGGTTACATTGCTTTTTGGAGCATGAGTTGTAAGTAAGTGGCTATGAAGTAATCCATTAACTTGTTGTCCTTTACATATCACCTTGTTTTTACATCTCAAACTATTCCGTAAGACGTATCTCTTATCTAGCAGGATATTCCAGACAGCATGTAGTTCCCAGCAAAGCCATTATTCACAGCATATTATTGGTTAACTATCAGCCTGTCATCAGGGAAAATTAATTGAGAAGTCTATCTTCACATTCAACCTAACTCATTATCGCTCACACAGGAAGCCTCTCACTCAGGTGCAGGGGTGTTGAGTCAACTGGAGGTTGACTCATCCCAAACCCACTCAGCATGGCTGGAAATGCCTTTTCCAGGCAGCAAGGACAACTGATAGTAGCTCACTGAATTTCCTCCAGTGCCCTTCCCTCCAATTCCCCACAAGAACTGCTCCAGTTTTCTGAACAGAGCTGCAGGGAAAAAAGTATCCTGAAATGTCTCTGCAAAAAAGGACGAGCCCTAATCCTAAACAGTCAACACTTTGCTTTGGTAGGAGCAACGAGATTTGGGTATGATTTTTGCAAACTCTACCACAGCCCTGCAACCAACACACATCTGTAGTTATGATGTCACATAGCCTAAACAAGTGACACCTCAGGCAGGCTGAAGCTAATGTTGCTGTTCCTTAAATATACAAGCAGATTCAGATTGCAGGCTGCAGAGAGTGCAGATGCCTTACAGAATCCTGGAGGTTACAACAGAGCTGTGAATAGTGGAGGCTTATGTTGAAAATCTCCTTCAGATCAGCAGCAGGGCTACACAGCAGACGGCACAGCATCAGTGAATGGACAATACTTACGGTGGGGAAAAACCCTGCATTGAACACCGCAGCCTCACACAGGCAAGCTCCCATCAAAAGCATTGAAAAAAACTCTCGTATCATGACAGGGAGGAACACTTGACATTCTGCTAAATCTCATTACGTTTTTAAGTAGCCACATGAAAAAAAAATTAAGTGAAAGGAAACCTCTTTAAGAGATTTATGGTGAAAAAACTGATGTCTCTCTTCCCTCACCAACTGCCTAGAAGCTGGTTGTACATGCCCCATGCCATTCAGCACAGGGGAACAGGCATCTCTGAAGGATGATGTGGGCTTACAGCAGCTTACTCCACAAGAAGGGAGGTGGATTATCCATAAGGAGCAGTTACGGAATGAAAATCTGTGTTTCTGGGCTCTTTTTTTTGGTTGCTGTTAATATTATGTTTCCTCCCTTAAATACACCGTGTAATTGATATTCAAGGCAATTGGTGAATTCCTCTGTGCACTGCTGCCCAAGAATCTGAGGGTATGGGCCACCCTTCCATCCTGTCCTCTCCAAAAGCCTGGGGACAACTGCAGTGAGTGAGGGACAGGGCTGCCCCTTCTTCTGAGTCCCATCATCTTTTACCTAACAATAAAGGGTTGATCTCAACTCAGCTCCCTCTACATTCCCTGGAAAAGAACCATCACAGAATCATGGAATAGTTTGGATTGGAAAGGACTTTTAAGATCACCTATTTCCATTCCCCTGCTATAGGCAGGGACACCTCCCTCTAGACCAGGTTGCTCACAGCCCCATCCTTTGGCCCTTTTGGATATGGGCTGACCACATTTTGGAGGTATCCTCCCTCCTTCACCCTCCGCTGGTGCCACGACAAGGCTTAGTGATGACACCCTGTAGGTGAGGTTGATGGTTGGACTTGATGATCTTGAAGGTCTTTTCCAACCTAAATGGAAATGATGCTATGACTGTTCTGAACTGACTGCCAGTTTTGCAGACAGCTGCGCTTGTAGCAGATGAATTGCTCGCAATGGGCCTGCATACCAATACCAGCTCCTTCCACATACATATTCAGGAACTGATGTAGACCCACTTGTCCCAGCAGCCACAGCACGAGGTTCTCCTGCTCAGGCTCTCAGCATGCATCTTCCAGGTCAGATCTGCTGACCTGATGGAGTACACTGCGTTCTCGCTTCTTTTCTCTCCGTGCTATTTTCTGCTCTTCCCAAGTCATCAGGCAACAGCAGCTAAGCTGAGATCTGGTCTGCCTTGTGCCAAGGATATGATGAAGGAACAGGTCTGACCTTCATGAAATCTCAGCAGATGATGTCCTGAGCTATACAGAGTCTGGGACTTTACCTCAAGTTCCAACTCCAGCACTTATGTGGCTGGTGGTGTCAGAGCATGCAGGAGATGCTAATTCTTGGGCGATCTGGGTTAGTGAAACAGGTAAATACATTTCCCCCAGCCCTTTCAAAGAGATGCTTCTCAGACTAAAATGGTTCTTGCAAAGCATGGTAAGGATTTTCATTCTTCTGCCCATCCACAGAATAGAACCACAGAATCATGGGATCTTTTGAGTTGGAAGGGACATGTAAAGGCCACCTGGTCCAACTGCCCTGCAATGAACAGGGAGACCTATAGCTCCTTCAGGTGCTCAAAGCCCCATCCATCCAGTACGAATGGAACCCAGGAAATAAAGTATAAATCTGATCTCATCCCCATCTGCTCCCTGCTAACTGCAACTACAGCTGTTAAGATCAGCCCTTGCTGTCCCTGTGTTCCTAAACATTTCTGAAGGAGATGCTGTGGGTCTAAGTAAGTATTTCCAATGGATCCAATCCTCTCATCTCAACAGCTATCTTAACATGGGAACCAAAAGGAAAAGGCAAAAAGTCCTAATAGTCATCGCACTGATGCCATATCTAATGGATAGGAGATGGAAATGTGAGCTGACATTTGCTCCTCAAGACTGCCTTGGCTTCCAGCACTGGGTTTGGCATTGTAGTCTTAAGATTAGGGAACACTGAAGCTTCAAAGTGGGATGTGTGCTGTGGGAAATGGTAAACAGACCATCTTCTAGCACTGACCGAATCCATGAGAGACTGTGGGAGTCATATAGGAACAACTGGAGTGTGGATATATAAGCATGGGCCATTCCTGGGTTTACAAGTCCTGATGTGGGTTGCTTTGCCCGCGTGCATCCCCCAGTGATGCAGCTGATGTTCTCCTTGTTTAGAAGCAGAACTGGCCTCTCCTGTCCCATGACACACGACACCATGAGTCAGAAGAAGCTGGATTTTTAAACACATTGACTTCCTAACAATACTCCATTTCCTTTCACTTCTGCCTGCTTTTAGGGAAATCTCTGATGCTCCTGTTCCTAACTGATCCTCTCAGTAATTTCTCTATGCAGAATTATGTGCTGACTAGGAGGAGCTCCAGGAAACCTTGCATCTGGGCCAGCAGTGCTGAGCAAGTTGTGCTGCCTGCATCCCTGGGCATCACCTGCTGTGCTGTGCTCTCAGAGAGAGGATGTGTGCTGCCTCAGAAGAGAGAGCAGGCTGCTCACTTTGATGGAGGAATGGAAGAACCGCGTGGCTGGAGGAAGGGAGAAGGAAAAAAATGATGCAGCCTGTCCGGTGGATTAGGCAGCCACACCTGGAAGTGGCAAACTGAAACAGCCACAGGTCTTCTTACTTACTGATACCACTGATGGTTCTCAGAAGGGACAATTCTCTCTCAAGCTGGAGACCAGTTGGTGGCCAGCTTGCCCACAGGCAAGGAATGGGGAGATGCTCATCCAAGGGCTGAGATAGGAGCTGATGTTTCTTGGCTGGGATGGAATCCCCATGCTACAGAACCTTGCAGCAGCAAAAGATATTAGAATTGGCCAACTCTGCTCTGTGTCTGCTTCCAAGATTCTGTTCATCTGTCTATATGTCTCCAGAGATACCTACTCTACAACATCTTTGTGTCCACACACTCCTTTCCACTGACCTCACCCCTCTATTTTCTTGGGTTTGCTGAGAATGATGGTACCGTGGTCACCCCTTCATCCTCTTATGGGCAGGGTATGACAACGATCAACCTTAATTACTGGGCTCCCTTCACAAAAGATCCTCCAACCCACAACAGAAGCTCTTATACGACATCTTATACACTGACTATCCTTAACACCATCAGAGCATTGCATAGACATTGAGCTGTTTGTCCTCACAACATAATGCCAAATCTGGCCAGCTTTATCATCTCACAGATGTTAGGAGGAAAACTGAGGCACAGAAGGATTGTGTTCACCCAGTGCCAGGTGACAAATGAGCGGTGGCACTTTCAACTGCAACAGAGATTGCCTGCCTCCTCCTGATAATGCAGCAGACTGTACAGGGTTTGGAAGAGCTGAACCTCATCTTTTGACCAATACTGTTTTTTTCTCAGTGGAACAAGCACAGATTTTACCCAGCAAACGCAGAGTGGAGCTGGAATGAGATTTGTCCGAAGTGGCAGCCCCGTAACACCATTAGGTTGCGTCCATCGGCAGCTGAGCAAGGGATCATGGGGAAGGCTGGGAGGATGGGGAGGGGAGGACGAGGGGCCCACTTACATGGTAATGTTTCTGCACGGTTCTTTTGGATCATTATGCAGAGCTGTAGCACCAGTTGAGGAGCGCTCTCCAGGAAAGTTTCCAGGAGGCGCAACATATTTACGTCTGCATATTCGTACATCATAGCCCAGTAGAAACGCCGCTGGTGTTCCTTCCGCCTCTGGCTCTGGATCCCCAGGTACATAGTTCGGATATACCTGCAGGAAACGAGAGGAAAAGCAGAGCGTGAGACTTTGGCGTCCTACAGAATCCAATGGGAACGGGGCTGTGGGTCAGTAGTTGGGGGAAGGGAAGTTGTTGGGGGAAGAGGGAGACTGGGATGGACACAGGTGTCTCTGCAGCTCTAACAGCAACAGCAACTCCTGTAGGATTGGAAGGTCTGAGAAACCTACAGCATCCTCACTGTGCAATGCAGAAGTGGGACATCTTTGACTGACACCACCCAAATATGACGTGTGAGGGGTAGGAAATGCTCACGGGACATTTGCACAAGGAAATAACTCCTCTACTTTGTTTTCTTGAGGAAAGGAGAAGCTACATAGCAAAGGCTGTTACTGACACTTGGTGGTGGTCCGACCGATGGCCTGAGACCCTTCAACACTCCACAGAGGCCCCTCCCTCATGAACCCCAGAGATATGACTGCATATCATCACTGGCGGAGCAACAGGATGGCATTTTCACCTTCAGCACACGTGAATGCAAAAGGCCACACAGCTTGCCACTGGTCAACAATTGAGGTTTTTGGCCCTACTGGACTGTCTGGAGGTGTCCTACTGACTGGAGGTGCTGTCTCTGTTTCCATAGCAGGTGTGCAAGGAGACCTGCAAACCTCACCCTACGAATACAACCTCCCTTGAGAGAACCTTCAGCCAGCCTTTGTCAACAGAGTTGATCAAATCAGGGCAGCACAAGCTGCCCAGATCTAACGAGACTCATAGCATTTTAAGAAAATAAGTATCTCCTAACAGGTTCCCTGCTAATTCTTGCTGATATTAATGACCTAGTAGTAGTTCTCTTTAACTCTGAGCAGTAGCTGTAACCTTATGCTCTGAGATGTAGTATAGGAGTTGCTGTACTTAATGCTGACCCCAAAGCTGGTCATTTGAGAGAATCAATGGAAAGCAACAACCCCTCTGCCCCATCTCAGATGCCTGCATGGGGGTGGGATGTGGTGTTGGGATGGGCTCCCAGCTTCACAAACCAAGGTTCCAGCAAACTGCTAAAATCATTCCTAGCCACCCAGGACTGCATGGCAAGGAAGGGGGTTGAAACAAGATGATCTTTGAGGTTTTTTTCAACCCAGGCCATTCTGTGAAGAGTGTGAGGAAAGGATGCAACTCTTGGTTGCTCTAAACAACGACAGGGAGAGGGGAGAGAAGCTCTGCAAGCCCTGCCCTTGCCCAAGCACCTTGTCTTTCCCGTTTGCTCTTCACAACCACAGAAAATTAAAGACCCCGAAGGAAGACTCAGAGGAAACCAAATGACTGACGCAGGAAAGCCACCAGGTGGGGCTCGACACTCGAGAAAAATGCTACACAGATGACAGGTGACACTGGTGGGACAGCCCCAGCGGAAGCCCAGTGGGGTGGAAGCACCCGCGGACTCGCTGAGTCACTCAAGAAGAGCAAGAAGCAGCTCCCCTTCTGCATCTGCACAAAATGCACTGGATAATGCATGGCCTGATCCAGACTCCATCAGGAGCTGGAACAACGGCAATGACAGCATCACACCTAACTATTGAACCCATGGCTTTTTGCACAGGTTGGCTGCACCACGCTCCTTCCATAGTTGGGGAAACTGAGTCATGATGTCCAAATGGCTCTCCTGAGTCCTCCAGACAGGCGGTGAGCAAGAACCCAGATGTCTCCACCAGCAGTAAACTGGTGGGAGATGTTGACTCCTTCAGAAGCAGAGAAGCCTTGCAGAGAGATTTGGACCAACTGGAAGGCTGAGCCATCACCAACTGCATGCTGTTAAACAAGTGCAAATGCTGGATTCTGCACCTGGGATGGAGCAAGCAAGGCTATACATATAGACTGGAGGACTGCTGGGCACCAGTCCTGTGGAATGGGATCTGAGGGTTCTGGCACGTTGAACATGAACTGACAGTGTTGCCCTGGCAGCCGAAAGGGCCAACCGTACCCAGGTGGTGCTGTGTGGAGCCAGGAGCTGGACTCGGTGGTCCTTCCAACTGGGGACATTCTATGCTTCTACGACTCTCCCCACCTCCCAACCTCAACCCCTTGCCCAACACCCCTTGTGGTTCCACTGAGAAAAAAAACCCCTTCAGACTTTTGAGCTTCCCAAGGCGGTGAATCCTGCCTCACCACCAGGAGATGACACACCACTCCGTCTCTTGGTCCAGGCAAAAATACTTTGCCAGTAGCAAACAGGGTTCTATAATTAGACTTTCAAATCCATATTGAGGCCTGATCCTCAAGCTTCAGCAACACGATGCTTCCCCTTATGACAGTGAAAGCCATTCACCGCCCTGCGCTTTTGAAAATCAGGCTAATTTATTTATTTAAGAGCTTAATTTTGGATACAGGAGCCTAACTTCAGGCTTTCTATTTTCTTGAATGCTGGCTATTTTTATCTGCTGGTGTGTGTATTTGCATGCACGTGTGTATTTTTAGTTCTGAGTTCCATCCCGGCTTCAAGAGACAGAACTAATTTGGGGCTGGGGTGTTTTTCTTTACATGCACAGAGGGTTGGCTGTCCCCTCTGCTCTGGCAGGGCTCCCAGAATTCCTGTTGGTATAATTACTCTCATGCTTATTTACTACGGATGCTGCAGCAGCACACAAACCACGCGGGGCAAAGGCGATGCCATCCTGCGACAAAGCACATTTTGGAGGAGCGAAAGCCATCAGCTACAAAAATGTGGTCAAATAACTTTTGGATGGGACCCCGTGGATGATAAAGACTGCTTAGCAGAAATGCCCGGAGATGGGATTGTGGAGTCAGAGGCTGTGTCTGTACCATTAAACAAAAGAGACCAAAGCGTTTGGCCAGCTGGCATGACTCGACTCCACGTGTCTACATCTGTGTTGGCTGGCCTTGGCCAAAGTTGTCGGAGCCTGCATGGATGATATAACAGCAAGGACTGTTCCAGGACACTGTCTGTTCCTTGGCTCTGTTCTCTTGACAGAGGTGTCTGAGTACCACCAGCAGAAAGTGCAGGAGCATGCCCCAGGCACTGAGGGAAAAGACAAGGACAGTGGTATGTGCAAGGGCCACAGGTAAGGAATAGCAGCCTAGCCCCTGGGCTGTGTTTTAAGGGAAGAAGTGCCCTAATGGCCTGTCCCACACAATCACAGGCTGACCAAGGTCAAGAATCTCACACTGCATCTACAACAGTCAACAAAGCATGTGAGCCTGACTGCCCTACCGCAGGCCAATTGGCCCAAGATGACCCTAGAAATGAGCTCTGTCATGACCCCAAGCCAGCTGGCTGCCTTCAGATCAGTACTAGGAGTGATTTCCGGCCCCTGCTTGGTCCTGAACCCTGTTGAGGTTATTATTTGCAAGAGCACTACTATGCCTTGATCAATCTAGTAGCGATGCTAACAGTTTAGCAGCCTGATGAAGTTACAGTGACCATGAGCAGGTCTTGAAGTTGCCCATTTTACCATGGGTATATGGAAAGATGGAAGATAATAGGATTTGGGTTACTCAGTCCACTCCCAGCAACTCCAGGTTAGGAAACTCATCTTCACCAAGCACAACCAAGCCTACTACTGCTTTCTGAGAAGCAAATCCTGAATGGAAAAAAATGAGAGTATTCTGACCTCAAGGATCACTTTTGACAGTTTTAACCCCTCTAGGCTCATTTTTGACCCTAGAAGATCACAGATAGTAGAGGCACACGAATGGACTCCTGACTGCTCCCTACAGACCAGAAGCAGAGCATGAGAAATAAGAAGCAGCTCAAAAAATTAACTCTGCTTGCAGGACCTTACAATGCCCTTTTGGCTTCATTGGGGTTCATCAGGACCAGGAAGGCAGCAGGTACAACTTCCTTTGTTTCTCCCCTCTCCCACAGTACTACAGATGCATGGTGATGTCCTGAACAACATGGTAGCAATGCACATGGTGTGAACAGGCACCATCTCCCTTGCCATCCTGTGGCACCAACCATTTCCCTGGTGCTCAGCCCTGGGAGAAGAAGGATGGTTTGGGGTGAGTTACCCAGCTGCTGTCTCACCCTCCTACCACCTCCTTCTCCACAGGCACTCCTGCTAGCTCTTGCAGAGGGCCATTATCTTTATGCACCAGAGGGTGTTTGCAGATTAAAAGCCCACTCCTTGGAAGGAAGAAAATCAGGACATGTGGAACCGCTCAGCTGGAAGGCTTGAAAGGGAGGCTGGCTAAATGCAGCCTTAAAATGAGGTTATGTAAGGCCAGATCTCAGCTGGAGCAAGTTGGCATCCATAGGGCTCTAGCAATTTACACCAGCTGAGGCTTTGGCTTGCTTTTTTAATTTTAATGAATTATTTTCATTCTAACGAATATAAGAAGGAATATAAGATGCAACACTCAAGCAACAGGAGAATATGAAAGTAAAATGCTATCTATTAAAAACAATCAAAATCAAACATAGAGTTACCAGTGCTCAGTAACATGCTCAGTATCAACATTTGTTGGGGGTTTTGCTTTGTGATAGTGTTGCAAGTTAGCAATAAGGATTCACAGACAATTAGTGTTCCTAGATGGAGTACCAAGGTTGTAACTCTGGGCCCCATCCAAGTGCTGACACAGCACTGCTTCCTCTGGCTGCATCCAAACCATGTTGGGGAGCAGTTCCTGGCCCTGGGATAATTCCCAAAGGGTATTTCAGGGCTTTTCTACACCACTGCTGGCTGTCCTGGGCCCACACCATGCTGGGGACCATTGCTAAATTGGGAAATATCACTTGCCACTTCATTAGCAAGCCTGAAATCTTCCTCATATACCATGCAACCACACACGACTGTATCTTTCTGGATTTGGGGGGCATTCGTCAGGCCTTTGTTTTTCAGAGCTCTCTGATATCTCAGAATCACAGAACCATAGAATCACCAAGGTTGGAAAACACTTCCAAGATCATCCAGTCCAACCATCCACCTATCACCAATATTTCCCACATCTTGCCGCTGTTGGCATTGTTTTTTTTAATGGGGTTTGTATCCCAGAGTGAATAAAATGCAGCAAAAGG